TATATTTTTTTTTGTCATGACTACTTGTAGTGACTTTGCACACTTGCTTACAATTATAAATAGTATTAACATTATTTGTACTTAGTGTAAATATTATTTATTGCTTTTTGTACTTCCTCTGCCTTTTGACAGATTTTTTGATTGAAACTCAGCTAGATAAAGAAATAGCGAATTTTCCTCGAATCATTCTTCAATTTTAAGTAAACTTTGAGTCTTAAATTTCAGAAGTTTTGTATTTTTCGTATTTTAGTGTTTGACAAGCTACAATAATAGATTTCTTCTTTTTTTTTTACCTGACTTTTTGCTGTTGATTTTTGACAAATTGCATAGAAACGATGGGAGGGTCAATCTGACCCCAGCATAAAAGTCATAAAACTAAATTTGTACCAGGGTTATTTTTGTATAATTGAAATACAATTACAGTTTTTATTATTTTTTAAAAATTATTATTTTATTTTATTTATTTAATTTTAAGTTAATTTTTAGTAATTTTGTTGTGTGCTTGTAATTTCTTTTAATTATTATTTCTTTTTAAATATGTCTATAATATTTTCATTATTTTTCATTTCAGTATTGGTTTTAGATATTTCAGTTAGCTAAAAAAATATTTTTAGGTAAACTAAATTAAAATGAGAAATGTTGCCTTGGCATCTAGCTGCAAATAAAATAACTTTTCTTTCAGTTATAGTTTATTTTATTTCAAGTAAAAATTGTTTTAGTTTTCATTAGCTATAATAACCCTGATTTGTACAGACTCATGAGTCATGACCTTAAATGTGACCCTGGACCACAAAACCAGTCATAAGGGTCAATTTTTTTCGAAATTGAGATTTATACATCATATAATAAATAAGCTTTCCATTGAGTAGGAACTTTGCAAAATATCTTCATGGAACATGATCTTTACTTAATATCCTAATGATTTTTGGCATAAAAGAAAAATCTATAATTTTGACCCATACAATGTACTTTTGGCTATTGCTACAAATATACCCCACTGACTTAAGACTGCTTTTGTGCTCCAGGGTCACAAATGTGAAATATTAAAAAAATTTCAAAAACTAAATAGTTTAGCCATTGTTTCAAGCTGTTTGAAAACCCCAACACAACAGCAGAGTTAATGAACATTTTCTTTGCATTGTTTGCTCACCCTCTCCTTGTTTTCCGTCTTCAGATGCTGTGAACGGAGTTGTTTTGTCCCTGCCGTCTCTGCCGCTGGAAGGTGGGAACGTGTCTCTGAGTTGCAGCTGGTCTGCGGGTTCAGAGGTCAGTGTGGTTTGGGGTAAAGGAGGCGCTGCGCTTTCCTCTGACAGCCGCATTACTATCAGCGCTGGATCTCTGCTCATTAAACAGGCCAGGAGAGACGATGCAGGAGAATACACATGCACCGTCAGCAACGCCGTCAGCGCTCAAACCGCCAAGACCACCCTCAGCGTCTACTGTGAGTCAATAACAATTCATGCTGTGTCATTGCTGCAGAAGACTCTACAAGCTGGTCATCTTTTGGCGAATTTCTCTATTCTGAGTTCTGAGTTTTTTTTATTCACGGTAACTGTATATATCACTGTATATATCCACTTTCGGCTGGAAATTCAACCCCAAAATATTTTACATACCATATTACAGAATTGTGGTAATGACTGTTTTTGGATAATCTAGTCCCATCCGAGATATTTCTGGTACAGATTTTACTTTTTTTTTTGTGCAATTTTATTAATTCTTTCCAGTTGTAAAAAATCACACTCAAATATTCCCTCATATCATACTAAAATTCCCTCATATATCGAGGTCAGATTTATTATAGTAAACTAAAATTAAAACCATTAAAAAACATGTTCCTTACTTAAAATAAATATTATAACAGAAATAAAATAAAATATTTTTAAAAAATTCAGCTAGTTGGCAAAGCAAAATTTCTTCTTTTCATTTAGTTTTTTTGACGTACTAAAAAACTAAAACTAAAACTGAAATAATAAAAAAACTATAAAGTGAAAATAAAAACTATATAGACACATTAAGAAAATAAAAATGACAAAAGCACAAAAATACTAAAATTCAAATGAAAACATAAAATATAAAAATAATTCAAAATAATAATAAAAACTATAATATCAAAATTATACTAAAATAACACAGCTTTTCCAAGACTGTGGGAAATAAAAAAGACAATATAAAAAATATGAATGTGAAATATGAATGATAGAAGATAAATGAATTAAACAAATTAAAATAAGAAATATTGTTTTTTTAGCTGCTTGTTTTGCCATATTTTAAGTCATTTTAGTTTAGTTTAGTTATTAATAATATATTGTTAATAAGCCATCTTGCGGCCCCTTTGGAAACATGCTGAGGCCTCTAGTTTAATTTTATCAATAAGACCTCAGACAAGGTTTTATGCTTTGCACGTCAACCTTGTGTGAACATTTCTTGCAGTTTCTCAAATAAGAGCATGTTTTATAACAGCAGCATGTGTTCAGAGACATCTGACATGAAAAAATGACTAAAGAGCTTGTAATGTTCCAGTTTGGTAGACAAACATAACAATAACATACAAGACATATTTTGGATTAATTTCTGCTGCACTAGTGAGTAATTGCAGTCTGTTTGAGGGGCATGACAACACTGGCTCAACCAACAGTCCAGCCAATGGCAGATGGAGGAGTGTTTGAAACCAAAAGTGCTTTTGCAATTCTGTTTGCTGATTTAGTTTTTTATTGTTTTGAGTGTTTTGTTTTGAGCTCAAGTGTTTCATAGAGGGAAGCAGTTTTTGTACTGATATCAGACTTACTCATGTGTTGTAAATAATCAGATCTTGGTTGGTGTACAAGTAAAAAAAAAATATATATTTTTATATATATATAATTAATTAATTACAATTATCCACAAGTATTTAATTGACTGAATGATCAAAAATAGACATTTTGACACTTTCTCTTGTTGTGTTCTGTATAATGTAGAATAATATCTCTAAGGGCTGAACAATATGGCTAAAAAAATCTAAATATTATTTTTTTAGATTTTAATATTATTATTATTATTATATCAATAATTTTTCAATAATAGTAATGATTATTCTTAATATTACTGTTAATAATTAATATTTCTGTAAAGCTGTCTTGAAACAATATGTATTATGAAACATGCTATACAAATAAACTTTGCACTGATATCAAAATTATTCATGCATTGTAAATAATCTGATCTTTTGGTTGGTGCCCAACAAGTTACAGATAAAAAGAATATAATACACTGGAATGAAGCTCAAGCAGATAATAGACTGGATTATCTAAAATAGACAGTAATATGATGCTGCTTTTTCCTGTTTTGTGCTGTATAATGTAGAATAATACATAATATCTAAATATTTTACTGTATTAATATTAATAATATTAGTTAATATTATTAATATGTAATTAATATTTATATTTATATTAATACATTTTGTTTTTAATATTACAGTTTATAAATACAAAAATGAAAATATACAAATATTCAAATAAACTTGAACTGAATTAATATATATATTAAAAAAAAAAAAAAATTATTATTTTTTTTTTTATGATTATCACATGGCATTATCACATTTTTTGCACTAAATTACCAGTAAAATAATCATATTATGAAATACAATTATGGTGATATAAAATTACTCATACAGTGATACAAGATAATTTTGTCGGTCCTCAGATGGTCCAGACGCCCCACAGTTGACTAAGACCTCAAGTGAGTGTGTTGGCGGGGGAGATGCTACGGTGGGACAGACGGTGCGTCTCACCTGTACGTCTGCCTCTCTACCTCCTGCCTCCTTCTCATGGGAACTTAACGGCCAGCCGGTGACCACCGGCCAATCAGGGAGTGGTGTGCTGAGTCTGCAGATCTTCTCCTCCAATCAGAGTGGCCGTTACATCTGCATTGCACGGAATGACATCACAGGAGGGACATCGAAGCAGCAGATAGACCTGGCCATTGTGGGTGAGTTAATGGCTCTCTGTGGCACTTTGGTGACGGATGCATCTGTCAGTTTATTCTTCGGCCTGACATTCATTTTCTTGACCGGAGAAGGAGTATTCAGCCACAGCATTGATAAATTCATGTGTCACCTCACTAGAAGGAGTCATAATTTTCATCCTCCTACAATGATTTTCCTTTGCAGGATACTTTCTTCTATTTGCTGGTTCCATTGCCAGTGTTTGTGTGATGTGTTTTTTCTTTGCCCTTTATGCTTTTGCTCCATTTCTGTCTTCTGTTATTAGCAGTGCGTGTTAATCTAATTCTTCATATGTAAAATATAAAAATCATGTTTACAGGTACGTGTCTCAGCGGAGGAGCCGTAGCAGGGATCGTTGTTGCCTGTGTTGTTGCACTCATCATAATTATTGTTGTAATTATTTTGCTTCTGCGACAAAGAAACGGTATGTCTCTCTTGAATGCTTCAGTTCATTGTTTTGTTTTGTGATTTTTTTGATGCTTATATGCTCATATTTGCAGTTGATCGGAGACTCAGAGATACTATTGGACTTCAGAAGACAAACCAGAATGAAGGAACCACAGTAAGATGGTGCCACATTCTTCTATTGTGTTCTGTGTAATGTAGAATAATACCTCTTAGGGATGGACAATTTGGCTAAAAAAAGAGAAAATTTTTACTATATACAGTGGGTACGGAAAGTATTCAGACCCCCTTAAATTTTTCACTCTTTGTTATATTGCAGCCATTTGCTAAAATCATTTAAGTTAATTTTTTTCCCTCGTTAATGTACACACAGCACCCCATATTGACAGAAAAACACAGAATTGTTGACATCTTTGCAGATTTATTAAAAAAGAAAAACTGAAAAATGCTCAGTATTTAGTAGAAGCACCCTTTTGATCTAATACAGCCATGAGTCTTTTTGGGAAAGATGCAACAAGTTATTCACACCTGGATTTGGGGATCCTCTGCCATTCCTCCTTGCAAATCCTCTCCAGTTCTGTCAGGTTGGACGGTAAACGTTGGTGGACAGCCATTTTTAGGTCTCTCCAGAGATGCTCAATTGAGTTTAAGTCAGGGCTCTGGCTGGGCCATCCAAGAACAGTCACAGAGTTGTTGTGAAGCCACTCCTTCGTTATTTTAGCTGTGTGCTTAGGGTCATTGTCTTGTTGGAAGGTAAACCTTAGTTCCAGTCTGAGGTCCTGAGCACTCTGGAGAAGGTTTTCGTCCAGGATATCCCTGTACTTGGCCGCATTCATCTTTCCCTCGATTGCAACCAGTCGTCCTGCCCCTGCAGCTGAAAAACACCCCCACAGCATGATGCTGCCACCACCATGCTTCACTGTTGGGACTGTATTGGACAGGTGCCTGGTTTTCTCCACACATACCGCTTAGAATTAAGGCCAAAAATATTTTTTTTAAATAACAAAATATAGCAGAAATATAATTAAAAATTTTTTTGCACTAAACTTTACAAGGAAGAATCATTTTTGTTTGTATGAACCAATATATTATCAAAGTGATAATCAGCAACATTTGCTTACAATGAACAATGGCACACAGAGATAATGTGAAAATTTTTATAGATCATGTAAACAAATCATTAAGTTCTGAATTGATTCATTAAAAGGATTCTGAATGTATTCACATCAATTAATTGAACTTACCAACTCAACCACTGTTTTTGCTACTTAACTCTTTCCCCGCCATAGACGGAATTTTCCGGTTTCCGTGTTTTCACTGTTATACGCTCGGGGCGCTATTACACATCTCCCGATCAAAAACACAGGCGAGGAAAATGCAGAAACGTGCATATGTAAGCAGATGCATATGAAAAATAATGCGATCAGCATATAAATGAAAACTGCCTAATCTTACCGAGTGAAATGTCGATCCCGGAAGTGGTAAAGGACTGTGAAGCTTTGGGGGTGTTGATGGAAGCGATCTACTGCACCTATGCTTTGATCATAGAACTGAATATGATCCAGATGTAGTCTTTGATTTTCTCAGCTTTTTAAACAAAATGTAGCTTTTTTTTAATGAAACTTACCTACATTCAAGTGTTGATAAAAAAAGAATGCTTGAAGCTAGAATGAAACTGATTTTTTTATGTTTAAAAGTAGAGGCCCTGTTCTTTATTTTGATTTATTGCATGTTCAGATATTCATACAACAAAATATTCTGGGGGCCATGATATTTTAGTGAAAATGATCAGAAATGCTGGCGGGGAAAGAGATAAGATGCTATTAAAACATCTTTATATTAACACTCTTATACTCATTATTTGCAAGGAAAGAATTACAAAACCAGTTTAATGTATTTTGCTAAACCTAATGGCCACATAAAAGCACCTTGCAATCATTGCAATATTGCCCAGCCTTAACATCTCTTTTAATGTACAATAATACCTCTTTTCACATGTTCCCTCTCCACAGATTGCAAACAGAGCTCTTGTCAATGAAAACCACCATGATCCCACATTACACAACTCACTCCCACAAAACTTCACTGCCGTTCCCAATAACAACAATGGGAACATAAACACAATGTCACAAATCATGCCCAGCAACTCCAACCCACTCCATCATAATGGCCATCTGCACACCGATGCATTCCAACGCAACTTCAGTACAGTCCCAGACAATGGGCATCAAAGCAATTCATATCCAAACAATGACCCTCAGAGGTCGTTCCCACAGCCTGTCCAACACAATCCCAATATTCTCATACAAACGGGCAGTTCTCAGCCTGGTGCGCTTGCCCATACAGTTCATGTAAACCTCAACACCTTGCCACGAACTGACCAGTTTAATAATTCACAACCTCAAACGGTGCATGTCAACTTGAACACATACCCTCCAGAAGCAAATCAGGTGGTCCAGCAACATGCAGACCATGGAGAAAGTGCACTACAGAGTCAACATACTAACGCCAACCATCAAAATCATTCTCAGACTGGCTTGCTGAACTCTGACCCTTTGAGATTGGGTAATCAAACACAAACAATGCTCAATAATGCTTCATCAAATGGTTCTCGTCAGCCCAACAGCCTCATTCAGACTGGATACTCGCACCCTACCAACCAAACCAATGCAAACCGCCAAACTGCCAACTCAAGATCATCAGCAGAAGAGCGAAGTCGACGTTCAAACCCCCTTCAGACCAACAACCAGTTCAATGACTCCAGAGCGCACCTCCAACAGATGCCTTTGGACCGTTTGCAGGGAACGCCGGCGTATCCCAACCCCGAAGTCTATAGTTCAGACAGTAGTGGATCTTCAGATTGGCCACAACGAGATGCACGGAGGGATCGTTCTGGTCTGAGATATCGGGAAACTGAACCTTTGGGAAGGTTGACCCAAGCTGCTCCTCCCCAAAGAAGAGACCTCCAGAGACCAATCGTGCTCAACAACTCTCAATTGGACCCAAATGTGCAGAGGCAAGTGGTCCAACAGAATTTAAGCACCCAACCGCAAGTCCAATCTCAAATCCAGACCGCAATACCTCAAACCCAAACCTCTCAGGGTCAGACTCCAATCCCCATTGGTCTACCAAGGGGAACGATCATACCTGAAACACAAACTGGCACCAGACCAAATCAGACCGTGCCTCAGCCATCCATTCCTCTCACTGAGGCTGCACTACGCCAACACACCGCCCAGACCGATAACCCTTTCGCCAATTGGATCCAGCAGTCTCAAGCTGCCTTGCAGAACCCTGGACCTTCTCAACCCATCCAGCAGCTTAACAAAGTGGGCCAGATGCCTCCTACTCCACCTCCGGTGCTGCGGCCGGACGAGTTCCAGAAACTTCCGCGTGAACGCATGCAGCAGCCGCGCACCATCCAGCCTGTGACCGTGCAACGTAGACACAGATCTCCAAACGTGCACAAGCAGACTCGAGTGTTGCATACGAGCCCTCAGCGAATGCCAGGAGTGCATCCCATGCATGCAACCATGCATGGACACCCAACACACATGCGACAGGTATGCAACTTGATACTGCTTTATATGAGTGAAATGCATCTTCAACAACACATTTTATGGCTGATGCATTTAATGCAGTGACCATGTCATGATCCACTGGATATTTTTCCATTACTTTAACCCATCAAAATAATTTCAACTTCATTTTTAAGTTATACAAGATTCAACTAGACAAGACTTTTAGAAAATGAGTTTAAAAGCCAATTTGATTATATTTAAAATTTTAAAGAAATAGTTGATGAGTTTGATGAGTTTGTTTCTTCATCAGATTTGGAGAAATGTAGCATTGAAGCACTTGCTCAGCAATGGATGCTCTGCAGTGAATGGGTGCCGTCAGAATGAGAGTCCAAACAGCTGATAAAAACATCACAATAATCCACAAGTAATCCACACCACTCCAGTCCATCAGTTAATGACTTGTGAATTGAAAATCTATGTGTTTGTAAGAAACACATCCATCATTTAGACGCTTTAAGTTGCTTAACTTTATACTGTTGCTTCTGTCTGAAATATGAGTCCATAATCCATAATAACGCTGGTGAAAAAGTCTATCTCCTGTTGTCTCTCACATCAAAAATCACATCAAAAAGAAAGGACTGTTTTCACTTGTTGTAAACAGTGCTTAAATGTGCAGATTTCTCTCCTGATTCATACAAGACTACTTTTTTACTGGAGGAAGCAATATTATGAATTATGGTCTCATATTTTAGCCAGAAGCAATGGTTTGAAGTTAAAAATGTCTTAATAATGGATTTGTTTATTACAAACATGCAGCTTTTTGCTTCATAAGATTTTAATTGATGGACTGGAGTTGTTGAATTGGGTGGAATGTTTTTACAGTGCAGTATTTATATCCATATTTTAGTGACTCTCTGTTCCAGTCAGCCACCTCTGTAGTCAGTGTTTTTTATATATCATGGACACTTGACATGAATGATGTTCCAAATCCAAGATATTCACGTTAAATTCAACATGACAAATCAATTGAAATGGATAATTATAAAAAGTATAGATTCAAATTTTTACTGCCAATTTTGGCTCCATGAATAAACTTTAACATCCATAGAATCTTTTCATTGCACAAAAGGTTCTTTATAGTGAAAAAGGGTTCTTTAAATTATTAAAATGTTCTTCACACTAAGTAAAAAAACCTGGAAAAACTTGTTTACTGAAAGTTTTTTTAGGCGGGAACCTGAAATGGTTCTTCTATGCCATCACTGCGAAAACAGCCTTTAGCTTTTATTCTTAAGAGTGTATATTTATGCTTATTAGAATACCGCATTGTCAGCTCAGCAGCAGGCTAATGTAAGATTAACACATGCTATTTGTGTTTCACCAATGTAGAGTGTTTCCAAATAAGTCACTTAAGAGTATGTGAATGTTAATGCTCTTTCAAATGACTCGCATCAAGACTTTAGCGCTCCGTTTTTGAACCTCCGTTTGAACCATGCTGCAGACTGCATCACAGAAAATACATTTTACGAGGTCGCTAGGTGTGAATACGTGAAACCACACATTTGAATCTGGAAGAGAATCTGTGGTGATTGTTTGAAAGCCATTGTAGAAAGAAAAAAGTTTAAAAAGTTATTGTTTCTGGATGCTCTTGATGTTTTAAATTAGGTCAATTGATAACATTAATGCATTAGCTGATATGTAATATGTTTTTACAGCATTTATGAATCTTTTTTAATATAAAAATTGATCATGTTCTTTTTAGTGCAATATCTATCTTTTGATTTTAAACATGTATTAGTAAGTGTTGAGTAAGATGACATAAACTAAGATGAATAAATGCTGTAAAAGTATTGTTCAATGTTTATAAATGAGACCTTATTGTAAAGTGTTACCAAATTAGTTTCTATTCAGACTTTCAGTTTGACTTGACTCTCATGGGCAAAATTACAATTACAAGTTACATGGAAAGATTTCCAAACAAGCAGGGAAGGATGTGAAATTGTTAAAAAATATATAAACATATATAAAAAAGTAAATATAAAGAAAATATAAAAAAAAAAAGAAAATAAGGTAAATGTAAATGCACAAAAATGCATGATGATGCATTCAAGACCTTAAAATTTGACAGTTGTTATAACATTTTTAGTTCCTTTTATTCTAAATGATTAACTTGAATGCAGAGTTGGACTTGTCATTGCACAGGCAGACTTTTCATACATCATGCAAATCGTCTGCTAATCATTGGCTTTCAAAATCATTGAAAAGGTCAGCGAATGGGGTTGAAGTTGAATTGAGCTTGGGCCAGCGCTGTCACTGATGCTGAGTTCAGTTCACTGGCCAACGCTGACTCGAGTAATGTGAAAGGGCCTTTAGACATGATTTATATAAAATGAAGCATTTTGTTCTTTCTTTTCTCCTCCTTCTCTCCCTCAGGTCCACAGAGGCAGACCCAGACGTTGAGAAAATGCAGCGCTCGTCTGGCTCGACGCTATTTGCACTGTGAAAAACTTTCGTACACAGCACAATGTCTCTGTGGTGGAAAGAAACAAACGCTCAGCCATTCCTCCGGCCCTCGGCTTATTGTGCCGTACAAATCTTTGTGTTTTGTCGGAGAGACCGCATTATTGATAAAAAGACTGATCTTTTTGTTTCTCCTGCACAGCTGTCACGTAGGCATGTGAAAGCCGCGGCTGTTGAACAGGACACTGTGTGAATTTCATCCGTCGGAACAATGCTGCTTTGGGATTTTTCTTGTGCTCAAGTGTCTGAAAATAAAACACAATGCAGTGTTTTTCCACAGACAGGAAGACTTGAACAAAATCCAAATGAATTAGGATGGCTGGCAGAGCTTGAACTACTAAATGATAAATAATGGACTGCCACTGTTTGTCCTCTTGCAACTATTTATTCAGCTTTCTGCTCACAGATGCTTCTTGTAGCGCCGCTCAATTAGTGCGATCTGCTACGGTGCTTTTGTGGATGGATTACGCATTTGAGTATGAAGGAGACCCACCTAACGGACGTGTACTTAATGAAGCTCTTTAATTTTTATGTTAATGATGTGGAAAATGCTAATGAGTTTAAGTAAAATAGGTTGTTGACAGGCCTTGCAAAAATATGATGAAAAGCAAATGTTTGGTCAGATGGTATACTTTGAGCAAACGGGAGGTTTTTACAAATAAATTCTCCCAGTTTTCATCGCTTTGTTCTTCATTACATCTTTAATACAAGATTTCTCGAAGTTAGACACAGAAATCAATTTGTAACTGAAGTAATGGACCACAACTGAAGTTGCAGTGAATTCTCAAGAAGAGGTTTGTTGAAGAAACAACTTCCCTCTTTGACTTCAACAAAAAGCCTTCTAGTAATTGCAAGCACAGAATACATTAATATCAGTTCAGTGTGCATGTATTTATAGACATGCAGTGCACAAAAAATGTGTTCCTTGCTGTTTGGAAAATAAGTTCACCTCTTTCTGTGAAGTGAAAAATGTGTTGCTTCTTTCCTGTTTTGTCATCGTAGGTGCAGCATGAGTCAAAGTGACATCGAGGAAAATCATTAAATACTTGCGGAGCATCGCGTTATCACTTTTGAATCTTTAGTACTGGACTGAGTTATTAAGGTATAGAATATTTTGCTACTACTGTTTTTTTAGATTGGTTTGTGATGATGATTTCTTTGAAGACTAATGCTTCATCAGGTAAACTGTTTTGGTTTTGATCAGAAAATCTCTATAGCTACAGAGAAAACATTTAAATATAATTCATAAAATCACATTTATAAATATGGGTTCCTCAAATACCAGATAATAGGCATTTTAATATTTACAACAACAAAAAAAAAGCATCAAATGCTAAAATTATTTTGAGGAATTATTTTTCATTGCTTGTGAGAATGAAACATTTCTTTACATTTACAAATGTATTTGTACATGCATGTATCTAAAAAATTGAATGGTTATAACATTGCATGCATCTATCTATCCTATCTATCTATCTATCTATAAAATTATCTATGGTTAATTCTCTCATACATGTCTTTCAGTTTTGAGAAGTAGCTAGATCTACAAACAGTGTTTTTTTCCCCTCACATTATCACTTATAACCTTCATTTTGCATTGCTGGTATTCCCCTTTTCACATCTCACATTCATATGCAGCTAAATTTGTATTCTATGGAATTTATTTTAAGTATTAATATTTTTAGTAGCTTGTAGTAAATGTAAAAAGGATAACTCCAATCAAAATCAAAAGGATAACTCAATTGTTAGATATTCCAAATATGGTCTGTAAATGTATAACCTAAGCATGCATTCTGATCTCTGTATGTGTGTTGCGGAATTATTTTTTTTCTCAGTAATAACACCTGATCGTGTGATAAGTCTCTATATGCATTTCCTGAGATGCAATACAATATATTTAGAATTGACTGGAGCCTGTCCTACACATACTGCATGCTTTTTTTTATTATTTCAAACATACAGTAGATGCATGTGTAGCACAGTTGTTTGGTTTCATCAGTCCCATCTGTATTGAACTCTTTTTATTGCCATTAATAAGTAGGATTCCATTACTCCCCTAAAGTTCCATTGTGTGGTCAAGATACTAGATTAGATACCGGTACCTGTAGAGAACAATTACATTAATGAGAATAACTCTTCGTAAAGTATTTCACTGATACTAAAAACAATAAAATGATGGTAGGACTATGCCAAATCATTGCTTGCCAATTTTTAGTATAGAGGAGATCACCTTCCTGTCGTGTATAAATGATGGTGTTTTTTTCTGAAGAGACAGGGATAACAGAACCTCAACATGCATCAGTTAAACACACTATTTAAATGTAACTGTGAGACACTTTGAATTCTGGAGTATTGCATGTATCGCTCTTGCTTGAAGGTCATCAGGGCCATATTTTGATAAATAACTTATCAAAATAACTTAGCAAAACTTTTCATCTGTAAAATAGCACATACGCACATTCACAATTCTGCTCTTTTGTTTTCCTTAAGATTCTTATCATCATTATTATTATTATTATTATTTTGTCAAGGTTTTGGGGTTTTTGAGGCCCTTAACATGCTCATAAACTCAGGCGTGGCAAGGGAACTCTACAGCTCCCCCTGGAATGCGGATGGCAATATATCATACATACTTGCAAGTATACATGTGAAACTCGGTACACATACAGATATCATCTAGCCAAACAACTTTTGCACTGCATGTCATTAGCTCCGCCCAACAGGAAGTTGGCTATTTTGGGTTTTGTGAAAAATAATGACATCAGAATAATGTCAAAACACGGCAGATGTAAAACTGTAAATGGATTCTTGATATCTTAAATGGTGTTGCCATGGCAACGCGTCAAACTCGACATACACATCAGCATTAATGATATTTTTTTTTATTTTTTATTTTTTTAAAGAAACACACTTGTCCCTCCCAAATTATCCCACAAAACTAAGGTAAAGGGGAGAAGAGGGGAGAAAAAAAAAAAGGGGGGGGGGGGGGGGGGGTTGAAATCAAATATCTAATGAAGATACAGTTTCAACAAAGGAAAGGACAGGGTTCCACATTTTATAAAATGAGTTAACAGAGTCTCTAATGGAGTATTTAATTTTTTCCAGATGTAGAAAGGACATTAAGTCCTTCAACCAAGAAAAATTAGGAGGGGGACATGAGGACTTCCAATGTAACAGTATTCGTCTTTTGGCTAACAATGAAGCAAAAGCAATAATATCAGCATGACGCTTGTTGTACATGCCATCAGCAGGGGGTACTCCAAAAATTGCAATTATTGGGCCCTGAGCTGTGCAAAAGTTGAATCCAAAGCCGAAGGTGTGAAAAGGTGATTACCACAAATAGGCATATAAATGGACAAAGTGTTTAATTTAAAGTGGTGACTAAACTGTTTCCAGATTTTAAGCGAAGAAAGTACAATCGGGTTAGTGGTGTATTTAGAGAGGCGCCGCAAGTTGGGATCAAAAACTAATGCTGGTAACGAGGATGATATGCAGGAGCTAGCTTCTATCATACACCAATTAATATCCGGGGAGTTACACCATGCATATATTTTCTGAATATTAGCTGCCCAATAGTAGAAAAGGAAATTTGGAAGAGCGAGACCCCCTTCTTGTTTGGTTCTTTGAAGAGTTGACTTGTGTACACGTGGAGGCTTACCAGCCCAAATATACGAGGATATAGTGGCGTCAAATGATTTAAAAAAAGATTTGGGGAGAAAAATGGGAACAGTCTGAAATAGAAAAAGTATTCGTGGAAGGATATTCATTCTAATTGATTCAATCCTACCTACTAATGATAGTGGAAGACTGCTCCACCGCTGAAGATCTACTTTAATGCGATCCATTAATTTTATAAAATTTTCTTTGTGCAATGACTTCAATGAGTTTGAAATATAAACCCCTAAGTAACGGAAGCCTGTAAAAGACATGTGAAAAGGGAGCATAGCTGGAGAAATCTGTTTAGCCAATTAATTTATGGGAAAACACTCACTTTTAGCAAAGTTCAGCTTATATCCTGAAATAGAGCCAAACTCATTCAACAGATGCATTATGTTATCTATGCAGTTAAGAGGGTCTAAAACATATAGCAGGAGATCATCTGCATATAATGAGACACGATGTTCTCTTCCTCCTCTGTGAATACCTGAAAATACTGAAGATGATTTTAATGCTATAGAGAGAGGCTCTATAGCCAAAGCAAACAGGAGAGGAGAAAGGGGGCAACCCTGACGAGTGCCACGAGAAAGAGAGAAATAAGGGGACGTTTCAGAGTTTGTTTTCACACAAGCTGAGGGAGTGGAATACAGTAAACAAATCCATGAGATTAGTTTAGATCCAAAACCAAATTTTTGTAAAACCACAAATAAATAATCCCACTCCACCCGGTCAAAAGCCTTCTCCGCATCTAGCGAGATAACCATTTCTGGGCTTGATGTCCCAGATGGAGTAAGGACTACATTCAGAAGTCTACGTATATTGGATGACAACTGACGACCCAGTATAAAGCCAGTTTGATCATCTGATATAATGGATGGAAGATGAGCCTCTAACCGTTTGGCCAGTACTTTAGCTAGTACTTTAACATCATTATTAATTAGGCTAACAGGTCTGTAGCTGCCACAAATTTTAGCGTCTTTGTCTTTCTTTAATATTAAGGAAATCAAAGCTTGGTTTAAAGATGACGATAAGAAGCCTTGATCTAAGGAATGATTGTATAATTCTAATAATAAGGGGGATAACTGAGTGGAAAACTTTTTTAAAAATTCCGCAGGGAAGCCGTCAGGGCCAGGAGCTTTGTTGTTTTTCATGGTTAAGATGCAGGAGGCTATCTCCTCCAAGCTAAGAGGCTCATCTAGGCTACTGGCTATATCTGGGCTTATCTTAGGAATTTCTAATTGAGAAAAGAAAGACTGAATAGCAGCCATGTCCAAGCAGGCTTCTGACTTGTAAAGATTAGAATAAAAAGAACTAAACTCTGAGTTTATTTTAACCGGATCTGTAATAAGGTTATTTGAGGAATCATACACCTGTGAGATTAACTGGGAAGCAGTTTGATGTCTGAGCTGAGATGCTAGAAGACGGCCAGCTCTATCTCCATGCTCATAATAGGTTGCTCTTGTGCGTTTTATCAGAAACTCCGCCTTGTTTGTTGTCCGTAAGTCAAATTCAGTTTGTAGTTTTAGCCGCTGTGTCTCCAGAATAGGGTTTGGTGACCTGGCATTTAGCCTATCTACTTCTAAAATTTTGTCAATGAGTTCCTGCTTTTTTAATTTCCTAGCTTTAATCCAATATGCATTAAAATAAATAATCCTTCCACGTATAAAAGCTTTAAATGTTTCCCATAGAAGTGATGGCGAAACCGATTCTGATTTGTTGGTTTCCAGAAAGAAATCAATTCTCCTAGAGATATAATCACAAAATTCTTTATCAGTCAACAACCCAGTATTAAGCTTCCAGCCTCCAGCATGTCTACATAGGTTTTGGGGGAAAGAAAGGTCTAAAATGTGTGGGGCATGGTCTGAGATAATTATCGCTGAATATTCTGTGGACTTAACTAGAGATAATAGAGCTTTGTCTATAAAAAAATTATCAATACGTGAATAAACATGATGGACATTCGAAAAGAAAGAAAAATCTTTTGCAGTTGGATTAAGGAAGCGCCAGGGGTCTACACATCCCAATTGATCCATTAGAGATGAGAAGGACCTAGACATTGACGTAGGAGCTGATGACTTGGGTTGTGAGCGGTCTAAATTTGGGTTGACTGTGCAATTAAGATCCCCACCTAAAATAAGGCGGTGAGTGTCCAAATTTGGAAGATGGGAGAAGAGTGTGGTCATAAAAGCAGGGTTATCATAATTAGGGGCATACACGCTAGCTAATATGACAGGTGTTTGGTACAGAATTCCAGATAAGATTACGTAGCGCCCATCAGGATCGGAAAATACATTGTGTGGGACAAACTTTATCCGTTTGTGTATTACGATAGCAGTGCCTCTAGATTTACTATTAAAATTTGAATGAAAAACTTGACCAATCCATGGCTTGCGTAGTCTAACCTGGTCACTAACTCTGAGATGAGTCTCCTGTAGAAAACCAATATCAGTAGACAGGCTCTTTAAGTGTGAAAACACTTTTGATCTTTTAATTTGACCACCTAGACCCCTCACATTCCAGGTAACAAATTTGACATTATGACCAGCCAGCCCCTCTGTGTTCACTTTAGGACTAATCATTTAAGTTGTTGTAAAGATAAAAAAAATAATAATAATAAAAAAAAAAGTCTGAGACACATGAATCGGATGAGTGTGGAAAGAAAAGAGAAAAGAAAAAAGAAGAAAAAAAAAGGAAGAGGGGGGGTTCAAACCTATACTCACAACTCTGATGCTCGTCTTTTTGAACATGACGAGAAGCCAGAACATCAATTCACACAACCAATTAACCACATACCTGTCAACTCCTAAAACTTGAATATACACCCAAAAACAGCTGTCAAAGCTAAGTTATGTACAAAGAAACGAGAAAAGAAGGAGAAAAAAAAAAGGTACATTTAAATTTGGTAAATTAGTATGTAAACGACCCGTCACAAGACGGTACTGCCAACAAGGACCAGGCAGCGTAGCTTTTATAATCATAAACAGAATAGCTTCAATAACGTGCAGCACCAAATCTATATAATTTGGGGATGTATGAGTAATATCAAAATAAAGCTAAGGCACTCATGGTGTAACAGTCCAATTTTCCTTTAAGCTAAATTATAAGTAAAATGAGAACTACATACTGTCTTTAAACTAATTACAATAGCTTGTACCTGTTGGATTCAACCATCCCGTTTCGGAAATGTGTATTAGTCCACAGTGTTTGTCCAGGACTTAATTAGGAAAGTTCTGGCGATAGAATGATTAAGCTGCATCAGGGGAATCGAAGATCTGTTCCACACCGTTACAACTCACTCGGAGGCGAGCAGGGTACAGCATTCCGAAGCGAGCTCCTTGCTTGTAAAGTAGGCTCTTAATCTTGTTGAAAGCCGCTCGTTTCTTCGCCAGCTCTGTACTGAAGTCCTCGTACATCTTGATTTGGTGACCCTTGTAAGAAATGACCTTGTGAGATTTAGCCCACCTCATGACAGTTTCCTTGACAATGTATCGGTGAAATCTAATGATCAGCGGACGTGGAGCTTCCTCTGTACGAGGTTTGGGCCTCAGGCTACGGTGGGCGCAATCCAGCTAGGGTGGCTCTGCAAGGCCGTCGCCAAGAAGTTCGGACAGCAGGTTGGTCATGAACTCCCTTGCGCTCTTTCCCTCAATGCCCTCCGGTAGGCCGACCACTCGTATGTTATGGCGCTTCGAGCGAGAAACCAGGTCTTCTACGTTAGCTTTAAGCACCGTGTTTTCTTTTTCCATGATTGTGAGTTTTGATTGAATAGCGTTTACATCTTGCTCGAGCTGAGTTATTCGGTCGCTATGATCAGAGAGACTCGATTCCATTTCGCTGATGGTCGTTGCCTGTGTTGTCAGGGTTGCGCCAATCGATTCGATTGAGGACCGAATTGGTTCCAGAGAGCTATTTAAAAGTGTAACGAACTCTCCAGTCATGTCTTTTCTGAATTTTTCGAGCTCCTTAACTAGCGACTCGATTGTGAGCTGCGCAGATACGGACTCGTTATCTGCCATTTTGCTGCTTTCTTGACAGGCCTGCGCATGTTGAACTTGAGTCTGTTGCTTACCGCCTGTCCTCGTAGACTTGCTCATTTTGAATAAAAATTCCGAAGACGGTGTAAACGACCCGTCACAAGACGGTACTGCCAACAAGGACCAGGCAGCGTAGCTTTTATAATCATAAACAGAATAGCTTCAATAACGTGCAGCACCAAATCTATATAATTTGGGGATGTATGAGTAATATCAAAATAAAGCTAAGGCACTCATGGTGTAACAGTCCAATTTTCCTTTAAGCTAAATTATAAGTAAAATGAGAACTACATACTGTCTTTAAACTAATTACAATAGCTTGTACCTGTTGGATTCAACCATCCCGTTTCGGAAATGTGTATTAGTCCACAGTGTTTGTCCAGGACTTAATTAGGAAAGTTCTGGCGATAGAATGATTCCGCTGCCTCAGGGGAATCGAAGATCCGTTCCACACCGTTACAACTCACTCAGAGGCGAACATACTGCTCAGTTCAGTTAGTTAGAACGACAAACGAATGCATAAAATAAGTTAATATGTACTGTACTGGTAATATAGTTTTATATAATTATTTCAAATGCTTATAGATCATTAAAATAATTTTTAAAAATGATTATAGATCATTAATACTTTTGGTAACACTTTACAATAAGGTCTCATTTGTTAACATTAGTTAATGCATTAAATAACATGAACTAACAAAGAACAATATATTTTTACAGCATTTATTAATCTTTTTTAATGTTAGTTAATAAAAACGTTCATGTTAATTCACAGTGCATTAACTAATGTTAACAGATACAACTTTAAATTTGAATAATGTAATAGAAAGTTTTGAACTTAATATTAACTAACATTAATAAATGCTATATAATTATTGTTCATGTTTACTAATGTAGTTAATGTTAACAAACAAAACTGTATTGTAAAGTGTTACCAAATCGTTGTGTGTGTGTGTGTGTGTGTAGCATATCTTTAACAAACACTTGTTTGTAAGTATTGGAATGAGTATTTTGTGTACCACCACCACATTTAAAATGACGTAACTGGCAGATATCAGTGCAAAATGTTCAGAAATGCCTGTGAATTCGCAAAATGGTGAAAGTCAGAGGATCATCTGAAATCAGTTAACACACCTTTTAAGATGTAAGCTATGGAAGCCCATAAAAATTTCATGTTTTGGTATATCCTAATTATCATATAAAAAGTTTAAATTGACCTACTAAGTTATAATTATGAGATAAAATGTTGAAAGTATGACATACCAAGTATTAATTGACTAATCACATTAGATCAAACATTAATAAAAACGTTCATGTTAATTCACAGTGCATTAACTAATGTTAACAGATACAACTTTAAATTTGAATAATGTAATAGAAAGTTTTGAACTTAATATTAACTAACATTAATAAATGCTATATAATTATTGTTCATGTTTACTAATGTAGTTAATGTTAACAAACAAAACTGTATTGTAAAGTGTTACCAAATCGTTGTGTGTGTGTGTGTGTGTGTAGCATATCTTTAACAAACACTTGTTTGTAAGTATTGGAATGAGTATTTTGTGTACCACCACCACATTTAAAATGACGTAACTGGCAGATATCAGTGCAAAATGTTCAGAAATGCCTGTGAATTCGCAAAATGGTGAAAGTCAGAGGATCATCTGAAATCAGTTAACACACCTTTTAAGATGTAAGCTATGGAAGCCCATAAAAATTTCATGTTTTGGTATATCCTAATTATCATATAAAAAGTTTAAATTGACCTACTAAGTTATAATTATGAGATAAAATGTTGAAAGTATGACATACCAAGTATTAATTGACTAATCACATTAGATCAAACATTTTGACTGTCATAACTCTGTCACAATTTCAACTTTTTTATCTCACGACTTTTGTCATAATTGTCTTTATTTCATAATTATGACTTAGTATGTCAATTTCGACTAAATCTCATAATTGACATGTCATAATTATGCTTTGTCTCATAATTATGACTTAGTATGTGATAATTTTGACTTTGACTCATAATTTTGACTTTTTTATAATTATCACTTGTCATATTTTTGATAGGATGTCATATTATCTCATAATTGACATGTCATAATTATGTCTTATCTCATAATTTGACTTTCAATCTAATAAAATTGTTGTCATAATTATGACTTGGTGTGTCATGATTTTTTTTATCCCACAATTGACTTCTTATGTCATACGATTTTATCTCATAATTATGACTTGTCATAATTTTGACTTTTTTCCTCAGTTGACTTTTCATTTCATAATTATGACATTTTAGGTCATAATTTTGACTTTTTCTCATAATCAAATTTTTGTCGTAACTATGACTTTTATCTCATAATTATGACTTAGTATGTCAGAATTTTGACTTTTTATCTCATAATTTATTTTTTCATCAATCAAATAGATAGTTTTACTTTTTAATCTTATGTTATCTCATATTTACCAAAGCATGATTTTTTTTCTTATGTGCAGGAAATGGACTTCCGTTGTAAACAGCATGAAACTTAACATTAAAATAATTGCATTTTCTTTTCTTACAGAGTGTTGGTGACATCTAGTGACGATGGTGTGGACGGTTGGTCTCAGTAAGCTGGTGTTAGGGGTCTATGGATTCACACTGATCACAGGCCTTCCCGCCAACTTCTTGGCTTTCTACACCTTCTTTCAGAAGATTCGCCAGCGCTGCACCCCAATAGACGTGCTGCTATTCAGTTTAACCATCTCTGACCTGATCTTCCTCTTTTTCCTGCCGTTTCGCATGGTGGAGGCGGCCAACATGAAATGGACGCTGCCTTACTTCCTCTGCCCGCTGTCGGGATTCATCTTCTACTCGGTCATCGCCAACAGCGTCCTTCACCTGACGGCCATCAGCGTGGAGCGCTACCTGGCTGTAGCTTTCCCCATTAAATACAAGCTCAAACGTAATCCAAGAAGTGCCGTGATAGTCTGCGTCCTATTCTCGGTGGTGTCAATGGTGCATTGTAGTATCGTCTACATCATGCAATACCACAACTATTTTAAGCCCAACATCACTGATCCATCCAAACGTAACTCCTGTTATGAAGAATTCACTGCCGAACAACTCGAGATCCTCCTGCCGTTTCGTCTGGAGCTTTCTGTTGTCTTCTTCTGCATCCCATTCCTCATCTGCTGCTTCTGCTACATCCAGTGCATCTGCATACTTTCCCGTCTATCCAGCGTCAATGCCAAGAAGCGGTATAGAGCCATCGGGATGGCGTTGGGCACGCTTCTGGTCTTTGTTATCTGTTTCATGCCCTTCAACATCTCACACGTGGAGGGATTCGTAAATGGCTACAGCTCTGAGTGGAGACAACCTGCTTTACTCACCAGCACGCTGAATGCATGCCTCGACCCTTTCATATTCTACTTCTCTTCTTCCGCACTCAGAGAGACTTTCAAGAACGCGTTGCAGGGGCTGGTGAGGCGTTTGCTCCTTCCTTGCTGCCGCTCGGCTCTCTGCCGCCCTTTATTTAACCGTGGGAAACCAGAGGAGCGAACACAAAGCTCTGGTGACGGCATCCGCTAACAATTTCAAGCCAGTTTTTGAATTGAATAATCTGCCAACGTATGCATCATCAGTGCTTATCATTCAGTCCAAAGCCAATTAATATAATTCAGATGCACCACCATAACCCAATGCCTTACGAACAGACAGAAGTGGAGAAGCTTAAAAATGGTTCCAGAATAAAAATCAAGCATGCACATGCTGATTGCATGACTATTTAACCTAAATCTTTGCAGCAGCGGTTTCGTTCACAATGAAATGAAGAGCTCGAGTGAACAAATTACAGTGCAAAACGCAATTGCGTCTGAACTGTACATCTAACATATGAACTAATACACAGCATTCAATAACAGCAGTGCTATAAATATAATCAATACAACAACTTTGTAAAACAAATCTTCTTTGCTACTAATATTTTAATAAAAGAAACTCATACAATTTATGCATCCATTCTTCATTTCTTCATCCTGAACTTCTCACCCATTATGCATGAATGCTGTTTATTTTTTACGCAGCACTCAATATGCATTGCTTGTTTTTAACCTGCCATCTCTTTAGATAGACCAACAAAACCTGCTCCTGTGATGTCACTTCCTGTTCCTGGTACAGCATTTGGAGGTACAGGTTGGATTTTGAATCATTTATTTTATCCATTTCATCAGTTATGTTTATAATGGATAATAATTAATCTAATCTATAACATATAATCTGAATATTTGTTGTCACTGATGCAGATTTTGAACAGTTGCATCTAGTTTCCTAACTTGGTTATCAGAATTGATTATCTCTGTCTCTTATTAAATTTGAATGTCACAGTTTTGTTATTCACCTGATTAAATGGCAACTATATTGTGTCTGTGTCAGTGTGTCTTTTTTTTTTTTAGCGCAGATGAGAGTACGGTCGAGCTGCATGTGGTGCCGTTGCATTTATAGCTCAAATGATTGGATCGTACAGGTATTCTCTCAAAACATTTTCCATGAGCAAAGATGGCAGAATGCAGGTTACAGGACTGCATTTGCTAGTTGAGCAAGTGTCATTAATATGAATGGAAATGCTAACGAATATACATGCATTCTTTAAATAAACAAGTCTAAAGATCGTACACAATTTTGCTTAAATGCTTTTTTTTTGTGCATTGCATTGCACGTGAGCTTGCATTCTTCAGTGCATTGCCATCATACCCAGCAAGTTTACTAGATAACGGACATAAACATCACATCTATTTATTACTACTGTATTATTCTGAGCACTGCTGTCAACTTTAAACGTAAGTTTGTGTCTTCTCTGCCCTACTTCTACTTCAGCAAAAGCTGCATCTCTTTTTAGCCTGTGTGCATCTATAAAGAGCTCATCTATCTTTCCTGTGGCAGAGGCGTCTGAAACAACACACACTTTCCTGTTGCATGATACAGGGGGAATCCAGGTAAAGTGGGACACTTTCTGATCATATTTCATTGGCTTTTATAATATGTTCCAGAGGCATTAAGATAAAGATCACGATAAAGATCTGCACTGCACAATACAGATAAACAAATAAATATTAAACTTGAATTTTTCCTCAAACACATATAGGCCTTGAATCACAAAATTTCAGGAGTGACTGGTAAACTGGGACATGTAGTTCTTTTAAATACATTTCACCTACAATACATAAACACTTAAGCTTATTTGATTTCATTATTCTGTGAAAAAGGTCATACATGTTTGGAAAGACGTGAAGGTGAGTAAATCATGACAGAATGTACATTTTTAGGTGAACTTACCATTTACATGGTCTTAACCTTGTGTGATTCAACATAATACAAAATTGTTCAAAATGAAACAAAATTGTCCGTATAATCAGACACTTAAATTGATTAATTATATTAACAACAACAAAAGACAGCTATATATTTTCATGTATAAAGACCCAGTTTATACTGTGAAAAATTAATATAAAAAAAAGGGATAAAATATCATGTGGAAATATTTTGTTTCTTTTACATGTTAAATACATGATTTAAATCTATTTTTTTTATTTATGTATTGTAATATATTTATTGATTTTAATCAAAATGTGCATTTATTTATTTTGTAATCTTATATTTAAGAATTTATTTATTTACTTATTTTACATTTTTACACAGTTTTTTCTTCTCTTTTTTTTTATTAAATGAGGCCACAAGATGGTGCCATATATAAGTCACTGTGAATAAAATGCTTCAAGAAACCTTTGAATTAACCACACAGGATCAGATAAAATTTTGAAAGTCTGAATTGCTGTATTCAAACCGATAGAGATTTGTCATCAGATGTAAAAATGTTGTTTTGTTCATGTTAAAACCACAAACATGTCTCATAGCAGCAATATATGTGGTCAATATGTTGTCTACTGGGAAGGAAATAATGGTTTTGTTCTGAGAAAGTAAACAGAAAGAACTAAGGGAACATTGTGTGAAGTTGCTAAGAGTGGTGCTTTCCCAAGCAAAATGTTGAGGTGGTTGATTGGCAACTGTTAAGGTGCTGTGAGTGTTTATTACACGGTTGCTAATGAAATATAAGGTGGTTGCTGTGGAGTTGGCTGCTAGTGTCGTTCTGAGTGGTTGCTAAGCAGGTGCTATGGTGCTGCTCTGACTGTTTTTTGCTGGTGGAGCGTTGCTAAGTGGTTGCTAGGGTGTTCTGGGTGGTACAGTATCATAAATGCAGGTCTAGCGCATGTTTATAATAAAAAGAACATTATTGTGCATCAACGTGGAGGCTAGTATACACTAATTATCGTTATCTTTATACTGTGGTTATTGTTCTTGGTGTTAACAGACCATGCGTGATTTTTTTTCTTTTTAATTGTAAAGACCCGTTTACTTCAAGTACAGTAACTATCACATTAGTTTTAAAAATTGGTTTTAAAAATTGTTCTTAATTTCAAAGAATAGCAGAGTTTACACCACAGCTATAACGATAACGAAACAGAGGAATGATATCTGGATTCACTTTCAGAACGATCTTTTTCTAGCTGATGAACGATAGAAACATTGACAGCCAATCAGAATCCATCCTGCTTCAAAGCGTGCCAGTATTTAAAGTGGCAGACGACAAAATAGCAACGCGCTTATATTATAATGGAACGTTACGGTTCTTTGGTTTGGAGTTGGACACTATATGGTTATCGTTCTTAATGTGAACGGGCCTTATATTTAAAAGAATAGCAGGTTCAACACCACAAATGTACTGATAACGACACAGAGGAATGGTATTGTTGTAATAACTTTAAGGGATATTTTGGTAATTTATTTAATTATAAGGTCCGTTCACACACCAAGTACGATAACGATAAGGATAGTTTTAAAAATCATTCTAAATTTCAAAGAATAGCAGAGTTTACGCCACAGCTATAACGATAGGCCTAACTACACAAAGGAACGATGTTGGCCTCACTTTCAGACTGATTTTTCCATCTAATGAACGATATAAACATTTACAGCCAATCAGAATCCATCCTGCTGGAAAGCCCTCAAGTATTTAAAGCGGCAGACGACGAAACTGCAGCGCATGCTTATATTATATCATTCTTTAGTGTGGATGCTATAGTTACACCACATATGTACTGATAACGACACAGAGGAATGGTATTGTTGTAATAACTTTAAGGGATATTTTGGTAATTTATTTAATTATAAGGTCCGTTCACACACCAAGTACGATAACGATAAGTATAGTTTTAAAAATCATTCTAAATTTCAAAGAATAGCAGAGTTTACGCCACAGCTATAACGATAGGCCTAACTACACAAAAGATGTTGGCCTCACTTTCAGACTGATTTTTCCATCTAATGAACGATATAAACATTTACAGCCAATCAGAATCCATCCTGCTGGAAAGCCCTCAAGTATTTAAAGCGGCAGACGACGAAACTGCAGCGCATGCTTATATTATATCATTCTTTAGTGTGGATGCTATAGTTATCGTTCTTTGTGTGGACAGCCTGAAATTGGAAAGAATAGCAGATTCAACACGACAAACAAAACGGTAACGGCACACAGGAACAATATTATATAACTATTTCCAGCTGATGAACATTAGAAACACTGGCAGCCAATCAGAATCCATCCTGCTTTAATGTCTGAAAGATGTCTGTTAAAGATAGCTTCATCTGGAGAGCATCTGCTGTGTACAAACATCTGATAGATGTCTTTAAGATGTCCGTTTTACATGCATTCTAAATCATAAACATCTTAAAGACATCTTTTAAAGGTCTGTTTGACATCTGATAGGAAACATCCTATAGACGCATTGCAGATGAGCAAACACTCTAAACCAGGGGTGTCAAACTCAGTTCCTGGAGGCCCGGAGCCCTGCAGAGTTTTGTTCCAACCCTGCTCCAACACACATATCATGCAGTTTTCAAATAAGCCTGAAGGACTTGATTAGTTGGATCAGATGTGTTTAATTAGGGTTGAATCTAAACTCTGCAGGGCTCCGGCCCTCCAGGAATTGAGTTTGACACCCTTGCTCTAAACAATACGTCTCGCAGATGTAATGCAGACGTTTCCGTGATGTACGTGTGTTATCAGGGAAAGCCCTTTTTTCTGCCTTAGGCTTGTGTAAGGTGCTTGTTTACATCAGTAGGCTAATTCTGATTTTAAACTTTAGCAAACATCACTAAAAATACCAACATGCCTAATGAGATGGTGGTCGCTCAGTATCGGTGATGTCCTGATCTTGATGAGACGGTTTTGCTGATGCACAATCATCGGATCAATCAGTAGTCCACGCGATGTTCAGGTAAATGCTATTCAGCCGTGTTTTAATAAACACTGTCTTGCTCGTTCACAGACTCACACACGCAGCAGATTTCCGGGTAATTACAGGGCAAGATGCAGAACAGAGCAGTCTAATTATCACATAGATTCATCTTTCAGCACGCGGGACAGACCGTATCTGCTGAAATGTCAGAGAAGGCGGTGCTGATTGCCACAGTCTCTGATTAAACGCCAGGCAGCGATTCATTGTGACGTGATGAGTCTGTCACATTTAACTTCCTGTCACCTTCACCTTACTTTCCGAAGAGGCTCTCAGTGGCTTTTGCTTGTCAGCGTGACATGAAGTGCTTCTGCCGGGTGTCTCGTCACACGTTCATACACCGTTAGAGAAGTTCTGTGGGCATTTGTGGGGTTGGCTCTTCCTGAAATGAAAATTTTTACATTTCAGACCTGTGTGATTTTTCTTTCTTCTGTAGAACACAAAAGGAGAAATTTTTAAGACATCCTCTTTCTCGTGCAATGAAAATCTATGTCTGTCAAGCTCCAAAACGAAAAAAAAAAAAAAAAAA